CTTGAAAGGCACTACTGGCCTTTGCCTTTGGTATCCAAAAGGTAGTAACTTTAACCTAGTGCATATGCTGATGCTGACTATGCAGGTTTCCTTGTGGACAGGAAGAGCACCCTCAGGTATGGCACATGGTCTTGGTTCATGTCTTGTATCATGGGATACTAAAAAGCAAAATTCAGTGTCTTTATCTACTGCTGAAACTGAGTATGTTGCTGCTGCTTCCTGTTGTGCTCAATTGCTGTGGATCAAACAACAGTTGATGGATTTTAGCGTTGAAGTTGGTTGCATCCCTATTTTTTGTGATAACACTAGTGCTATTAGTATGACTAAGAACTCGGTTCATCATAAGAGAACTAAGCACATAGATGTTAGACACCATTTCTTAAGGGACAACTATGAGAAAGGACTGATCATTATAGAATTTTGTGCTACTGATAAGCAGATTGGTGACATCTTTACAAAAGCACTGAGTAGAGAAAGCTTTGAAAGGAACATGTTAGAACTAGGGATGATTAAGATCACCTAATGAAACCAGTTCAGAATGCACAATGGAAAAAAAACTGATTTTATTTTTGGTTAAGAAATCTGGAACTTGTGTAAATATCTAGATTAATCTTTGCTCAGTTTCATACTGTAAAAAGTATACTCCTGAGCCATGTGTTGATATGACTCACTGATCTATAACAAAATTCTCTCTATTTTGGCAAATTGAGGCATGATCAAGAGAATTCTTAGTAAAGAACCTGGTTTATCAGTACTGGTTCATCTGAATAACAAGGTATGTTTTCTACACTCTGCACAATTAGAAATATTAATATTTAATTCATGAACACAGTCCTACCTGTGTTCAAAAACTACAGAAAAACCTATCCTTTTGAGTTTGAACCAGTTCCGTTTTAATTAGACTCCTCACCGTATAAAATTGCCTAGAATCTAGGGATGCTTAACCACCCTTTTCAACCTGAAATGTGGGAGTGATTGGACTTCTAATTGACAACAAAAAGCTGTCGTTGGAAATTAATTAACCCTCTCCCTTTAAAATCCATCATCATCACCACTGCTATTCCCATAATCCCCCAAAATCGTCAAAAAAATTTCTGTTCTCTTCTAAAACTCAAATAAAAAATTTTCTTCCAGAATTTAGAGAAGATGACAAACCCCCAAGATAACCCCGACACACCTCCACCACCTACCCCCTCTAATTCCTCCACCACTCCTCAACTCAGCACTACCCCTCAGCCTAGGAGAAGGCGAGTAAAGATGCTTGCTCGCAAGACTGTGGCTACAGTGCGCTGTCAAGGAAACTAAATGCACAACTAAAGGCTAGTCAAGCCCAAGATTCTAAAAATTCCGATGATTCTTTCAAATCTGCAAGTGAGGGGGAAGGAACCGGGTCTTCTGATTCTGAGCAGGCAACATCTGTGCAAAATCCCCCTACTGAGGTAATTTCTGATCTAGATGAAAATCTGGAGAATCGTTTTATTTTTGTTGGGTCTGTTGTGGATGTGGAAACTCTTGAGTCAAGAAGGAGAGGAGGTAAAAATAAAAGAGAAAAAGAAAAAGAGAGTGAGGGTGTGAGCAGTGATGTGAGGGTAAAATGGAAAGAAGTGGCTCATTCTTCACCCACTTCCGAAATGGTTAAAATAGCTCTCTATGGGGCTGAGCATGAAAAGGTGGTAGGAAGTAGCAAGAAAATAGAGGGAAGTGGTTCAGGAGAAGCTGCTGAAGAGCTAGTCAATAGCAGTACACATACGGATGAACCTGATTCATCTATTGAGGAGACCCTAGTAGATTTTCTAAAGAAGGTTGGTGCAAGCTATAACCCTAAGAAAAGGAGAACTCCAACACCCAAAGCTCCTAGCACTGCAAGAACTACCAAGAAAAGGAAGGTTGCTTCTCCAACTGCTACTGATATTCCTCTACCAAAAGGAAGGGCCACAAGAAGTAAGTTGAAGCAAAATGAGGATGAGTTGCAAGAACCTATGGAAGAAAGTAAGAAGAAAAGAATAGACAAAGGGAAAGCAAAGGTGGCAGAGCCTGTTGAGGCTGTTGATGTGGATGAGATGGACCCGGTCCATCAGGGTGAACATGTGACTGTGGAGGTTCCGATCCCTAAGCCCAAGAAGACCAAGACTTCCTCAAAGAAGTCTTCATCTGTATCCAAGATTGCTGAACCTTTTTTGGCTAAAAGGACAAGGTCTGCTGTGAAAGCCAAGCAAGTTAAGATCGCTAAAGAGGAAGATTGGAGTGGCAAAGAAGAGGGTGAATCTGATAATGAACAAGATAAGATGGCCAAGTTTGGCAAACGAACCATCTTGAAGGGTAGACTTTTGAAGGACTTGGAGGAACAAGGGATGGTTCTACTGGTTTATGCACTGGATGTTCAGGGGTGGAAGGACATGGTCCTTCTGTTGGATGGCAGGCTGGCTAGAAATGAGATTATTGAATTCATGGCCAATGCAGAGGTCAAGGATGGCAGAGTTACCAGCCAGGTGAAAGGGGTTCAAGTGTCGTTTGTTGCAAAAGAGCTGGGTGACATCCTTGCATTCCTTCTGAAGGTTATGATGACTATACTAGGCAAAAATGGCCAAGTCGGGACTCTCTTCTTACTGCCCTAGCCATTTCTAGGAAGTTCTGTGATACAACAGAAGTGAATGAGGCCAAGGTTGTATATAAGAGTGAAATAAAGCCATCCCACAAAGTGTTGTTTGAATTCGTCAACAAGTGCGTGCTGCCTAGGCAGGAAAGAAGGCACATTGCCAACTACATGGACTTGGTTTTGATGGAGTATCTTGAAAGTGGGCAGCGGATCAACTGGCCTGGGTTTATGATCAAGCTACTTGATAGGCTTATCAATGGCTCCAAGGCCCATGCCACTCCTTATGATTTATTCTCACTACTATTCTTGCCCGTTGTAAGGTGCCACTGAAGAAGTGGGAGATGGCCATAAGGAAAGTCCATTTTGGAATCAATACTCTGATTGCTTGTGATTATGAGGTCAACGCCATTCCCAATGAACCCGGTTCATCTAAAAAGAGACCTATCAATAGCAATGACAGAGCTCTATTGCAGGACAGTGGGGCAAAGGATGCTGAGATAGCTAGGTTGAAGACTCGTTTGGTAGAGGTTGAATCTGAGAGAGATGCTTTCAGAACTGAGCTCGCAAAGGAAAAGGAGAAGAATTATGGCATTCTTCAAGACATGCTGCACGTTCTCCAAGTCAAAACCCAACCCTCCAGTTCTTCCAAGCCTTAATTTCCTTAGCCTGAACCTTGTCCAGACCTATCAGTGACCCAGATTAGGGATTTTTTTTTCTTGTTTTGCTCATGCTTTAACTATTTTTTGTTTCTTTTTGTGGATTGTGGTAGAATCATATTCTCTGTCAATGAAGTTTGCTGCTTTTACTCTTGTTGACTGTTAATCTTTCCTTGATAGTTTGAATATGTGTAGTTGATTACTGATGATTAATCTATGAATGCATTTGTAATTGCCCCAGTGGCCATGAGTAATTTTTAAAAATCGGGGAATCACACTTTGTTTATGCAACTTTTTGATGATGCCAAAAGGGGGAAAAGATATTGTGCTTTATATTCTGAATAGTGATGTTTATAACCTAATGAACCTGGTCCTTGATGATAAGTGAAAAATTTCTAACTTTGCATTGATGATTGAGCTAAGTTCCGGCAGGGCCTACGTATATGAAAAGCACAGAGTTTGTCATCATCAATAAGGGGGAATTGGTTGGCCCAAGTAAAGATTGATTTTGAAGACTGACAAAGGAACTCAAATATGGACCAGGTCCATCCTAGTGGAGCACAGATATGGACAGACTTAAGCATGTGAGATGCACGTGAAGGAGATAAAATTAACTTGAATGAAGTAATATCTCCTGATCCTGATCGAAAAGGTTGCATATTGGATAAGGAGAAGGACTCCTTACTCAAAGAGAACACGGTTGAAGAAAGGGAAGGAGTTAGAGGTTGAGATCAACTAGAACTCTTCCACCAAGGAAGAGTAGCATCAGAATTTTAGTCAATCTCTATTTACTAACTCCATAAATATCAGTATTGTTCTCTTTTACAGGTAATGCACATAAGCAGAAGTTAAACGTGAATTGAGAGGAAAATAGCAAGGCAATTTTGCAAGCAGTTCGTGTGTGATTCAAGCGTGCAAACCTGAAGCTACTTGAACCAGATATAAGAACCAGTTCCAAGTGTCTGTCTTTTATTCTAGTTTAATTGTAGTAGGTGTTTTCATATTGTACCTTTCAGCATTATCTAGAAGCAACTGTATTAGGTACTTAGAGTTTTCAAGTTAGAGTTAACTTGAAGTTGTCGCAACAGTTGAGGCTGTGTGCTACAATGGGATTAGAGTTAGTCCTAGGTTTAAAAAGAATTTTTGTAAATGCAGTTTTTGGCTCAGTGATTTTAGTGGAGAGTTTGGGAAAATCCTACTGGAAAGTAGGTCGTGGTTTTTTCACCTTTTGAGTCAGGTGTTTTCCACGTAAAAACTTGTGTTCTTTACTTTCCGCATTTACTATTTCTGCAATAGTAGGTTAAGGAACATATAGAAGAACCAGGTCCTTCCCAAAACAGCTTAAGCGAAAAATTGGTCACCACACAAATCACCCCCTCTTGTGTCGTATTAAAGTATAAAACATCATAAATATTTACTAAATTAAGTTTTGCTGAAACTTATTTGCGACTACCAATCAGCAATCCCCACTAAAAGACTCTAACGTAATTGCAAAACAGTTGTAGTTCTATTGTTTTTATCCTTCTGAAGAAAGTTGCGCGACTGGCTATTTCTTAATGCGTTTAATTTGTCGTACCTATCGGTTTCAAATTCAACTCAGTATTTACTTGCTTAATTAATGATATACATCGCCGTATTTTCCGCTGTTTAGTTAGGCCAAACTTTTCCACTTGGTGACTCTGATATTTTGAAGTTAATTTCGAAGACTTTAATTTTTGTTATTATATAGATTTACGGAAATTAAACGGTTAAGAAATAAAAAGATCTATTAAGAAGATCGACAGGGATGTTATTTCATGGGAACTTAGGCCCTGCATTACATATTTCACATTGCTTAATTTAATTAGAAAGCTGAGGCAACGGACAATCACGCTTCGGCCTTTCCAATTCGGTCATCCTTTACGAACACAAATGCCTTTGGGTTGTCTGTGAGAGCCAAACGCCTATAATATCCACTTTCATTGATGATACCTATATTTTTGCAGGTAAACGTCTCTCCATAGGGACAAAACACTAGTTTATACGAGCTCCCGAGAGACTTAATTTGAAACCAGCTGTTCACGTCCAGTGGATTTGCCAACTTTGCACCTGTGCTTATGGTGTAGTTCTCCGCGGGTTTAGGGTAGTGGTCGACCTTCCACACGGTTAGGTTAGCACACTTATAATAATCAAGGTAGAAATTGATGTTTAACGAAGCAGACTCCACAATCTGCTGATGCTTGGGCTCTTTAGGTTTAAAATAAACCGCGATACCATCGTCGGTATCACGAGGGGATTGCACAACTGATGTGGGACAAGTGTTTTCTTCTTGACGTCCGAGATTAGCAAGCCGCACACCTCCACCGCCGGCACCGTTAAAGACCGAAACAATAAAGTATCTAGCGTCTTTGTCGAGGGGATGACCCTTCCAATCCTTTACAACTCTCAATACTTGGTTGGGAGTATCAGTAGTGCAAGTTGCCAAGGCTGAAAAGGGAAGGAATGCAAGGGAAAGATAGAGTAAGATGGTCTTCATCTTTTGTTTCTTGGGTTGGACTTATGGAATTTAATTTGTTTTGGATGCTTTATCGTTCTTGCTTACCTCTTGAATTTATAGAGGAGATGTGCCATGATTTTGCTCTAATGTGAACCACGTGGGTTTAATTGTGGCATTATTGGCGTTGAGACTATAAATTATTTTTCAACAAGACACCAACTTTTTATCCCATACAAAAAAGAAGCTACTCCTAAAAAAATAGCAGTACGGAGTTCTAATATTTAAGAAAAGAAAATTTTGTCGTCTTTGTTCTCCAGCCTATTATGCAGGGGCGAAAGGAAGAAAATGTTAATAAAAGTGAGTCATTACGAACATGACATCCCAACATTTCTTAGAATAAAAATGAAATTCCAACAAAACTAGCGAATAAAGCCGAAGAGCAGCCTCGTCATGTCCATTTTACAATTTGCGTTATTTGTCCGAAAATTAAACGTGCCATTTAATCTATTTCAACATTCAAGGATAAACACGTGATCAATGTCATTAGATAACGGTGAAAGATAGTTAATTTGATTGAATAACAAAATGCAACTTTTGCATTAACAGGGCAATTTGATGTCGTATTATACCCTGTAACGTCCCGTTGCTCCTAATATATGGGTCAGAATCCGATCTCACGGTAATTAACGGAGTTAATCTCGTCTTGAGCTAATCCATAATTAATAAGTGGTATGTCCACCTATTCATAACAGGATTCGAATCTTGTCCGATTTAATCTACGAGGGCACGGCCCATTCATTCCCCCATGGGAACGGAACCTCAGTGTGGCCACGGCCATTTATTGCCAGCTCACGAAGCTCACATCTATAAATACTAAGAGCGGAAGCCCTAGAAAGGGGGCTGCTTCTTCACCACTATTCACAAAAGAGAGAGAGAAGAGAAAAATATACCCATCTTATGGGAAGAGAAAACACTATTGTAAGGCTCTGAACCTCTTCATGGAGAGGCAGACCAAACCAATGTTGCCAATAAAAGCTGTTAAGATTTCTTCTCCTAACCTTGAGTACTTATTTTCATGTTCTTCGCTTGGTCCAATGGATTATTACGATTTGTTATGATTTTTCCGTAACTTATTTGTATTGTTTTGCACTCATAAAGCACACGATAACTTTTGAGCAAACAATTTGGCGCCGTCTGTGGGGATTTCATAGAAAAATCGCGTAGTTCTTCCATGGACCAAAAGGAAAGAAACACCGGAAAAGGAAGAACAACCCAGCTTAAACAAGCCAAAGCGGCATATCAGGCCGATGGAGCTCGAAGATCTCGAATCGAGATCCAGTTCCTCTGTCTCTCATCTATCGGATGGTGCAAACAAGAAGAAGAAGCCCCCCTCCCCCTCTTTTGGGGAGAATCTTCGTAAGAGATCTCCCACATCCCTGATAAGGGCTCCAGCCGGAAACCAGCACGGAGGAATCTCGAATCGAGAATCGCTTCGAGACAGCCTACATACCCCGGTTGGGAAGATAACGATTAAACTGCTCAAGATCTCGAATCAAAACCGAGCTTCAGCTCCCAAAAACCCACGAACCAAGACAGGCTATGCGCCTTCACCAAAAAAGTTCAACTACGGTTGAACCGGGACTCAGGCTATGCGCCTTCACCAAAAAAGTTCAACTACGGTTGAACCGGGACTCAGGCTATGCGCCTTCGCCATTATGTCAAGGCTATGCGCCTTCGCCAAAAAGTTCAACTACGGTTGAACCGAGACAGGCTATGCGCCTTCACCAGAAAGTTCAACTACGGTTGAACCGGAACTCAGGCTATGCGCCTTCACCATTAAATCCAGGCTATGCGCCTTCGCCAAAAAGTTCAACTACGGTTGAACCAGACAGGCTATGTGCCTTCGCCAACAAGTTCAACTACGGTTGAACCAAGACAGGCTATGCGCCTTCACCAAAAAAGTTCAACTACGGTTGAACCGGGACTCAGGCTATGCGCCTTCACCAAAAAAGTTCAACTACGGTTGAACCGGACTCAGGCTATGCGCCTTCACCAAAAAGTTCAACTACGGTTGAACCAAGACAGGCTATGCGCCTTCACCAAACAGTTCAACTACGGTTGAACCAAGACAGGCTATGCGTCTTCGCCAACAAGTTCAACTACGGTTGAACCAAGACAGGCTATGCGCCTTCACCAAAAAGTTCAACTACGGTTGAACCAAGACAGGCTATGCACCTTCACCAAACAGTTTAACTACGGTTGAACCAAGACAGGCTACGTGCCTTTGCCAACAAGTTCAACTACGGTTGAACCAAGACAGGCTAGGCGCCTTCACCAAATAGTTCAACTACAGTTGAACCAAGACAGGCTATGCGCCTTCACCAAACACTTCAACTACGGTTGAACCAAGACAGGCTATGCGCCTTCACCAAAAAAAGTTCAACTACGGTTGAACCAAGACAGGCTATGCGCCTTCGCCAAAAAAGTGCAACTACGGTTGAACCGGGACTCAGGCTATGCGCCTTCACCAAAAACGTTCAACTACGGTTGAACCAAGACAGGCTATGCGCCTTCGCCAAAAAGTTCAACTACGATTGAACCGTGACTCAGGCTATGCGCCTTCGTCAAAAAGTTCAACTACGGTTGAACCGGGACTCAGGCTATACGCCTTCGCCAAAAAGTTCAACTACGGTTGAACCAAGACAGGATATGCGCCTTCGCCAAAAAATACAACTACGGTTGAATTGGGACTCCGGCTACGTGCCTTCGCCAAAAAGTCCAACCACGGTCGAACCAAGACTCAGGCCATGTGCCTTCGCCATTAAATCCAACGAGCTCGACCTCGCTCGAACTACAAGGATGGACGCCTTCGTACTCAACTTTAGCAAGTTCAACCACAGTTTAACCGAGACTCAGTCCAAGCGCCTTCATCTGTGAAAGCAAAGCCCGACCTCCAACAAATCGAAGCGCAGGATAGGCACCCTCGCCATTCAAGTAAGTTCTCCCAACTCGAATTAAGAGTCGGGCCACGTAAAGTTCGGCCCCGGTCAAACTACGAGGCCGCGTTTTTTACCATCACGACCGGTAGTTCGACCGCGTGCGAACTGGGACTAAGGCTAAGCGCCGCTATCGCCAAATAACGGCTAAGACTCGCCCGCACCGAGTTGAAAAACTAAGGCCATCACCGTCAACGGTCGACCTAGATTCGACTATGGTGAGTAAACGACTCGACGATAGTCGAAGTTGCCTACATGGCTAAAGCCACCAATTATATTATGGCTAAGGCCATCGCCGCCAATTGTCGACCTAGATTCGACTACGGTGAGTAAACGACTCGACGACAGTCGAAGTCGCCTACATGGCTAAGGCCATCAAGATTGGGGACACGTAAAGTCCGGCCCCGGTCAAACTACAAGGCCGCGTTTCTGTCATAACGGCCGACAGTTCGACCGCGCCCGAACTGGGACTAAGGCTAAGTGTCGCTATCGCCAAGCAACGGCTCCGACTCGCTCACCCCGAGTAGAAGAAGAAGAGTCGTCAACATTTAAAAACTAACATGCCTACCAGAGTCGAACTCGAAGGCAAATCACCCCTTCGAGCGCATGCAAAGAAAAATCTAAGGGGGAAAAAGAGGAGAATACAAAAAAGACACAAGGCAAATAACGGAAAGGAGATCTCATTTATCAACAAAGTTAATTGCGGGTCTTCCCCGCTTACACCCGGCCAAGGCCGATCAATACAAGGAAAGAAAATAAAAAGCAAGAAAAAATGCATATCTTTTTACTCGGCGCCATCCGCGCCACCATCTGCACCAGCGTCAGCCTCTGGCGTCGCCGCGTCAAAACCACAGTCGGTACGGGCCTCACGAGCCTTTTGACGCGCTCCCTCAAAAGCAGCTTCGGTCACGATGCCGGCCTCCCACAAATTCTTATATACATCACGTTGGGCCTCGGCAAAGACCCAAAGTTCGCAAGCCTGGCTGGAAGAAGCGGCTTGGTCCCGTAGGCGCTGATTCTTTTTTTTTAAGGTTGTGATCCGGTCCGCCATGACTTGGGCGTCCTACTCAAAGACACCGATCCGCTCCTCGAGACTCGCTTCTCTAAAGGCCGCAGTAGCCCTCTCCAACGCCCGTTGGGACTCGTGCACGCGGATAGCTTCTGTCAACGCCCCAGCCCTCGACGAGGCATCCCTCACTTGAAGCTTCAATACTGCGACTTCACCCTCCAACGTGGTCACTTTCCCGCCCCATGCTGCAGCGGCCTCCGCCGCCTTAGCCTGGCCCTGGCGCTCACACTCAGCTGCGGCCCTCTTTACCGCCTCGAGCTCCTCATCCTTCCGGCGAAGCTGCTCCTCGAGAGCACTCGTTCTGCCAAGTGTTTGCTGCATCTGAAGCTCCCGCCTCGCCAGTTCCCCGACCAAGGCCCGGCTACGGGGTTCATTCCTCAAGCGCACGCGCAACTCTCGGCACTGATCTTGGTAGCGGCGATACTTCTCCAGTGCCCGCAAAAATATCCCCGAGCGAACTTTGGCTCGATGGATGCTCTCCACCTCCAACAAATAAGACTGCAAAGCAAAGACAACGATTAAGATAAAGAACAAACTAAGGCAAAGAAGAAGCGAACCGACGTAATAGTACATACCCTCAAGCCCATCACGGCCACTTCATTCATCGGTCCGATATCCGTAACTCCCCTCAACGACGTATTCTCGGCCTCCGAGCATAGCAGCTCGAATTGCGGCACCAAGCTTTCCCCTTGGAGCAATAAGTTCAACTCCGTGGGAACCTCGATGAAGCGAGATCGCCCCTCTGCGCGCACCACTGAATTGGTGAAGCCTTCCCGGAACATACGGACGTCGTCGGGGTCCAAGTCGGATTCGTACTCGTACTCATCTTCTACAGCATCCCTTCCTCCTTCCGCCACCAGCGAGGTAGAGCCACCCGCTGTAGCCACCGAAAGAGCGCTTGCCTCACTAACATTAGCAGCCGCTGAGGAACTACCTCTCGTCTCAGCGATTGGAACCACCAATTGAATCGCCGAAGTGACGGCATCATCATGGCATAAGCCAACCGGGGCAACCCCCATAGCGTGTCCACTCTC